ATGTAAATACCATATGATTTCACATAGATATGCACATAGTCTAATAATTATCTAAGTTCTACATTCTAATAATAATGTATCTAGATATTAATTACTACTAAAATTTGAATTGTTTTACCAATAGTTGAATTTTATATTTTCTGAATTATTATTATTTTTATTGCATAATTTTTGTTGTAAAAAAAATTGAATTTTCTCAGTTTCCTAATTTTTTTATAACAAAAAATTGATAAAAAGTCAATGATTTTTATCAGTACAGTCAAACCTTGGTTTACGAACTTAATTTGTTTCTAAAAGTTGTTTGAAAACTGATTTGTTCTCATACTGACAAATTTTTCCATAAGAAACAATGTAAAATGGATTAATGTGTTTTCAACCCCCAAAACAAACCTTATTTTACCTTTTTCAGCTGTATTAAAAATAAAAATACCTAAAAATGCAACGTAATATTATATTATAACATACCAACTGAATAACGAATAATGTTGATAATTAGAAAGACAATTATTTCATTCATCCTTATCCATGCTGAGAATTTGTGATGGTGCAAGTGTAGGGTGGACAGAAGGTGGAAGGGAAGGGATGTTATTTCTTGGAATGCAAGTTTTCCTCCATAATAATTTGATTTAAATTGAATTATGATGCATACTGAAAATTGAAAGTAGTATCTTACTTGCTTGTGCATTGAAATCTAATTTGAATAACAAATTCTTTGATGGTTTGTGTTGTGACGTCTAATGATGTGAGCCAAATTTCAGCTCCACTACTGAATTGGTAGTCTTGTCATTGATTAGTTGGGCTGTCAACTTTCTTTAACTTAGTATAAGAAGTTCACCATTGGTCTGCCAAGTAGCTTGTTTGAAAACCAAGTTATTGTAAGGCAACTGGAACAAATATGGCATTCAAAATTTTGTTTGTAAACAGGGGTGTTCGTAACCTGACTGTATGTGATTTTCCTTCATATATATTTTAAAGTAGAAAACATAATAGCAAAACTAAATGTGCCAAAGCCACAACAAAGTTTAACTTTTACAAAAAAATATATTTCTATACATACAGGATGAGTCAAATTTTTTTTTTTTTTTTTGTAAAAGTAAATTTGTCCCGTCAATTTTTTAAAAAGTTTAACTTACAATACAAACACTTTCCATACACTTTTAATCCCATCACTGTTTTAATTCTCCAACAAACATTTTCAGCTCAGATCATAAGCTTGCATCAGATCTACATCCAAATTCAAACTTCCAGCATTGTAAATTGGAATAGTACTCCATTCAAACTACATTAACTTACTCCATGACATTTTTTATAAAATTTAAAATCTACATCATCCAGCTTTAAGTATCTGCATATCTTTTAAATCAGAAATTCATATAATAGCACAAATTGTAACATAACACTTATAACATTTATTAATAATCTAATAATATCTATAATTTTATTGAAGATATTATATCTTGAATAAAATTATAGATATTATTGTAAGTGTTAAGTTACAATTTATGCTATTGTATGAATTTTCTGATTTTGAAGGTATGTGGACTCTTAAAGCTGGATGTTCTAATATATAATTATTGGATTTGGATGTTCTATCTTTTAAACTTGTTTAAAAAATATTGTGGAACAAGTTAACATAGTTAACATTCTGATTTAGAACATTAGAAGTTTGAATTCAGATGTAGACCTGATACAGGCTTATGAATTGAATCAAAACATTTGTTAGAGAATTGAAACAGTGCTGGAAAAATGTGGAAGATGTTTGTATTGTGAGTTATAATGGCTCCACAATTAGAGATTATGATTGTAAAAATAAAATGATTTTAATAAAACTATGAAAAAATTAGAGCTCTTACATTAAGTAAAACATTTTATAATTTCAAATCATGCAAACAAAAAATCCATTTTTATGCAAATAAAACAATAAAAATGACAATTTAACATCAACTTATCTGTAATGAAATATTCACTAAAAACTTGCATATATTTGGATAGCTTCCAAATTGAACCATCAGCATTAATATATCTCAAATCTTTGTAAAAACCAACAAGAAAGATTGATCAATGTTCTACTAATTTGATGAAAATTTGAGTAAATGAATAGATTTACAAGACTTAGTTGTTGCATTTCTGGTTGCAGAAATAGAAAAACTTATTGGCATTTTCTCATCAAATAAAAAATATAAAAACATCATCAATAAAAAGCTATTGTAATCAATGATTGTCACTCAAAATTTCACAAATTTTCTCCTAGGAGGCACTCTGTAAGTGTAACAAGGTCCACTGTATTTGAATTGTAACTTAAAGAGAAGTGTACATGGTATGATTTCCTTGAAAATCATAGTAATTTACGTTGAAGCTGACACTTGTACTATACATGATAAAAATTGCAAAGATTGACTAAATTGGACTGAAAATAGAGGACCACTTGTTTTCTCAATTACAAAAATCAAAATAATTTAAAATTGACTAATCAGAATTACTATATTCTGCATACATAAAAGGATGTCTGTGCCCATATTTTAACAGGACCAAGTCGGTATATGAGAGAAACAGCAAACAATAATTTGGAATTTTTCTTTGGAGACAATTCGATATTAGTTTATAGGTAAAATAAATTTGTGTTGACTTTAAATATAAGCATATATTAAGATTATTTTGATGTCAACAATTTAGCAATCATCAATAGAATACCTTTACCTAGTAAATGTTTATAAACAATTACTGAAGACTGCTACATTAAAACAAAATAAGTAAATAAACTTTAAAGAATCTTTAAAGTCCAGTAATAAAAATTTTTAATGTAAAAAACTTTGACAAGCATTTTCAACCTTGACCAATGTCTTCCTCAGGCCTTTAAGTTAAAGAAATTCCAAATTGGAATGCCCAGAACAACTTTTCAAAATATTATTTTTTAAAAAATTGAAACAAAAACATTTTCATGTTACTGGATTTTAAAGGTTGTTTAAAGTTTGTGATTTGTTCCAATATTGAGAAGGTAATTTTAAAATAAGTAAAGTTAGAAGCTTATAATTAATATCTACAGACAACTTTAGAAATAAGGAAAATGGAAGTGTATCACATGTGACAGATGTATCACAAACAGTAAAATCAAACAATACTAATTTGGTATAATGGAAATTGTATTGTTCTCTATACTTAAAGGTTTTCTTGCATATTGTTTTATTAAATTAATTAATGATGTTTTGAACTCTTGAAATGTAAATAAAAAATTTTCTTATATTAACATTGGCAGAAAAATATTGTATTGAGATATAATGAAATATCACGGCATGTGTGTATTAACGTGTGTGTAAAATATAAAAGTTGTTACAAGGAAATGGTAAGTAGAAAAACTTTAAATGGGGTATGTCTGTACATAGAAGTATAGAGAAAACTGATTTGTTACATACTAAAAGAATTTTGAGATCTATTATCCCAAAATTTTTATATGATATAAAAAGTTCCTTGATTCTGTAAATTATAGAATGTCATATTTCATTAAGCCTTTCTTGTACTATAGAAAGTAATTATTAAATATTTATTATCTTTAATTCATAGTTTTTTCATCATATGGTTCTTATTGTAGTTGAGTATTTTAAGACAAAGTCTGCCCAAATAGGGACCACCATTTATTAGTTTCGTGTTCCAGACTGTACTATCTTGGCGACCGACCTTCCTTTTTAGGCTACTAGCCGCCAAAACACTAAAAAGTCTTTTAAAAACACACAAAAATTTAGGCCTATCCAATTAAAAATACAAGGATTTTCTGAAAAAGGAACTGGTGACATACAGAAGTCTTCTGTTTTCTATCTATATTTTCTTGAGGGCATTTCGACTTTCATCCACAAAGAAATAAGTGCTGGAAAATGTAGATTAGAAAAAGGGAGGTGGTTTTTCTAATCTACAATTTCCAGCCCTTGTGGATAAAAGCTGAAACGCCCTCAAGAAAGTATGGATAGAAAACAGAAAACGTCCATATGTCAACAGTTCCTTTTTCAGAAAATCTCTGTATTTTTAATTGGATAAATTTTTGTGTGTTTTTAAAGGACTTTTTAGTGTTTTGGCAGCTACTACCCTAAAAAGGAAGGTCGATCGCCAAGATTGTACAGTCTGGAACACGAAATTAATAAATGGTGGTCCCTATTTGGATGGACTTTGTCTTAAAATTGGATAAATTTTTGTGTGTTTTTAAAGGACTTTTTAGTGTTTTGGCAGCTACTACCCTAAAAAGGAAGGTCGGTCGCCAAGATTGTACAGTCTGGAACACAAAATTAATAAATGGTGGTCCCTATTTGGGTGGACTATGTCTTCAAATACTTAACTAAAAATTTATTATCTTTTAATAAATTTAATAATTTGATTAATTTTATTAATAGTTTAATAGGATTATTTTAAATTAATTTGATGATATTAATTACAGTAGAACCTCGAAAACTTGGCCTAATGTGGACCGAAGGGTGGCCGAGTTTGTGAAAATGCCGGGTTATCGGGAATGGGGTTAAAAAAAATAAGTATGAGTGTTTCCTCAGAAAATAGTGTACTGTACTTGTATGTATTGTTTGCTTGAGAATACAACAGAGAATAAACTGCCCAAATACCCTTAAACAAAGGAAAAGTACGTCCTTTATGAAGGCATAGAACCTTTACTACATGAAAATGAAAATTAATGAATACACTGTGTACAGTAATTTACCTGATAAGACAGACCTCAGAAAAATACTTTATGAGAGCTTTTATACTTTTATAAAGCTGTCTATAATGAAAATTAACTAAGGATTTTTTTGTCCTGCCAGGGTGTGGCCGAGTTATCCAGAGTACCGGGTTATCGAGAGCCGAGTTTTCGAGGTTCTACTGTATTAATATTTGGTTCATAACTAAGCTTTTATTTTTATAAATAACTTATATAAATAAATTTACAAGCCTAATTAAGCTGTTACTTTAAAACTTTATTTTACATAACTTTCTATAATTATCATTATGTAAATTTATTATCTTTTTAGATATAATGGATTCAAAAATTTAGCAAATAAAAAGGAGTAATTATCTCAATGCATCCAAGTGAAACAGAAGATAGTAACATATCTCCACCAATTACAAAATCTGTCTCAAGAATCTCACAAGATGAAAATATTTCTTGGTATCATGGCAAAATAACTAGAGATGCTGCAGAACATATCCTCAAAATTAGTAAGTATAAAATATACTTGCTTTAAGAAAAAAAAATACATACACAAACATAATAGATTTCATATTATGTGAAAAATTAGTTAAAAATTAGACTTTTTGAAACAAGTTTAATATGTTTTTTTTTTTTTAATTAAGCATAGCATACAGATATTTTTCATAAGATTGAGTTCAAAACTTCATATACAAGTACTAAAGATTATATTAAATTTATTAATAAAATTATGTCAATTGTATTCAATTTATTTATGATTGAATAGCAGATTTTTTACCATTTAAGTGTAGTATCTTTAATTTAAATTTTTGTATAAAGTTTAGATTAAACTTGAGTCATTTTATGAGTCTATATGAAGTTGATATTAGATTTATATTGCTAATGATTTTCCAAAAACCAATTAATATAGGAGAAGGAACATATATCTCGAATAATGCAATAACTAACAACAATATATTGTAAATTTTACACTAACAAAATATTTTATTATAGTTTTTCAGTATTTTGGAAAACTCTATATTATATGTAGTGTCTTCAAATATCTATATATTTTGGAATACTGGTTATGAAACCTTGATTTTTATTCGATTTCTTAGTTATTTTTATGATGATAAACATGGTTTCCAAGAATTTGTATGGGGGGGCTCAGGTATAGAACAGACCTCTTAGCAGACCTCTTTTAGCCTTTTGTTTTTTGAACTAATGAAATACATAGAATGCTTCTTTATTAATAAAAAGTAGTTTGAAAGATTTTATTTTCTGTTAGTTAAAATGATGATAATTTTATAGGAATAGAAATCACTATAGGCTCCTAATTTTTCTCCAGGTCTGGAGAAAAATACCATTTCCCTTCTTTTAAGGTCCTGATGCTAAATGGGAACTATTGGTTGAATGATTAAAGTATAATAAAATGCTTAAATGTTTCAGTGTGAAAGAGTGAAATTTTGAGTGTGAAAGAGGCCCTCTTATTTCTCAGATAACAGAGTTAAAATACTTAAAAACTTCTATAATTGATAAATGAATAGAAATACTGATTATTATTTAGTAAATGCAAAAATATAGTAAAAGATATGTAAACTGCAATTGTCTAGTGCCAAATTTTTTCCATTTTGTGGGTTTTCATTTTAACAGGTTTTATTATTTTTTCTTCATTTTTAAACTATTTCAGATTAATATCATACAGTTATGTTTATTTTTTATAGTAAAATTACTTTTATTACAATTAGATTTATGCCACATAGTTGCACTTTGCCCATAAAAAACTCCATAGATTGTGATACCTTCATAGACAGTGACAATTTAAACTCAGGGTGCCAGTTAGCACCCTGGCAGTTTTCAATTTATGACTACACCTCTAGATAAAAGATGTTTATAAAATATATAATGTAATTTAAATTATAACTTCAATATATATATATATATCATTAGTATAATAATTAAAATTTTTCAAGTTTAATCAGAATATTAACTGTTTAGAAGATTGAGAAATATGATTAAATAATTAACAATTTACAAAATATAATGTATTAAAATAGCCTGCACTAACAGTTATTTAGAGTAGGGATTCCTAACTTGTGTTCCATGGAATACTAGGGTTTCACCAATAAAATCTGTTGAGTCTAGTGATGTATTCCAAGTGCCAAATGTGCCAAGGCAGATTTGGAATGTAAGGTAAAATTGTTGTATTCTTGGACTGAATCCTCTTATACATCCTATACATGTGTTAGAGTTATTTATAGGTTTATAAACAGTGGGGACGAACTTATCAGTAATGGAATGAACCAAAATCATGATATAATGTAAACGAAAACCATAAAAACAGTAAAACTTAAAATCATTTTAAAAAATAACCTTAAAGCATCCAACATATAAATAATAATAATAATAATACAATTGTTAAATATGCTTTAATTTATTGATATCTGCAATACAAGCCTATTGAATCTAATGATAGGAGTGGCCAGTCATATTCCTGATAGTTCTGTACACACTACAATACTAGTGATAGAATACGTCAGATGAGCGCATTAATTAATTTATTAATATCAAATATTCAATAATTTAATTATCTGGTTTAAAATATTTTATTTGAAGTTTAATTAGCTTTAAGTTAGTAATGTCATTCACTATTGTAGCTGTCATAATACAGTTTCCAATGATATGCAAATGCTGGATGTTTCTAGATAAGTGTGATATTATTTAATGAAAAATGTGAATTAATTTATTTGACTTTACAAATGATAAGTTCAAATACATTTTATAAATAAATAGTAAATTTTTAGGTGGAGGAGAAGAAGGACAGTTCTTAGTAAGAGAAAGTACAACTTCTCCAGGTGATTATGTTTTGAGTCTGATTCATGATGGACAGCCTATTCATTATCAAATACGTAGGCATGGAGAAGATGCTTTTTTCAATATAGATGAGGGACCTATTATTCATGGTTTGTTTATTTTGTTTGATAATATAAATTTTAAAATAAGAAATATCTAACTCTGAATTTAATATTTCTAATATAGTTTTATGGTGATTAAGTTAATTATTGTATTGTAAAAGATTGTGTTTAAAATTAATCTCTTGTGTTGTTAAAGATGATAAATTTAATTAATATATCTGTGAAAATTTTCACTGATACATTTAAAAAAGTTTTCATAATACTATATTTTATTTTTTAAGAGCTTTAAGTTCATTAGATAGATAGCTTTATTCATTCAGATTGATATTAATACAATATTAAAAATAATAGAGGACATTTGAAATAATGATCTTATATTGAACAGTCAACATAATGTTTGATGATGATGATAAAAAGATAATGGTTAATTTAAGTACTTTCTCTTAATTTTATTGCTAGTAGGAAAAGAAACTGATCATATTTATAATTCTTGTTAGGATTCAAATTCAGTACAAACTAACTTATACATTAACAATTTAAGATTATAGTTAAATATTTGTTTTATGAAGAATTTTATTTAAAGGGTTAGAAGTATTGATTAATCACTATCAGGAAGATGCTCAAGGATTGTCAACAAAACTTAGTAAGATGTGCAAAGGTCAGCCACCACCTCATGATACTAGAAGACATGGTAGGACAAACCTTTTACATAGAGCTACTCGTGAGGGTAAGTATAGGAAAACAGATTATTTCAAGCAAATTTTGAAAATGAGAAAAATGCTTTTTTATAAAATTATTTTTATATATCTATAAATCTAATATATGAAATCTATATATATATACGAGGGCTGTTCGAAAAGTTCGCGGCCTTGCCTATATGCGGCGCTGCGATCAATTTAATTTTTGGCGGGAATAATTCAGCCATCCTTGCTAAAGATACGATACCAATTTCCGCTTGATTTGTCGTAAAGTTTTGCCACGACAGCTTAGCAGATAGTCAATGTGCACATGCTTTGTCAAAAATGGAGAAGACGGAGACTCGTGCGGTCATAAAATACCTGACGAAAAAAGGGTTGACCGCATCTCAAATCAAAGCTGACATGGATGAAGTTTTGGGAGAGTCTGCTCCTTCGTACACCACTGTGAAAAAATGGACAGCCCTTTTTAAATCTGGCAGAGAGAGTGTGAAACATGACCCTCGCAGCGGACGGCCGTCAACTGCTGTCACTGAAAAAAATATCGACAAAGTTTACGATTTGGTGTTAGCAGATCGCCGTTTGAAAACGCGTGAGATAGCTGAGACAACAGGCATCTCTGTCGACCGAGTGCACCACATCTAACCGAAAATTTGGGTATGACGAAGGTCTCAGCAAGTTGGGTGCCGCATCTGCTGACCGCTGAGCAAAGACGTGTTCGCACTTTGATGTCAAAGAAGTGTTTGGACTTCTACAAGAAAAACCCACGGGATTTCTTGCGTCGGTTTGTGACTACTGACGAAACGTGGATCCATTACTACACTCCTGAAACAAAAGAACAGTCGAAGCAATGGAAACACCCCAGTTCGCCACCACCAAAGAAGGCAAAAACAGTTCCATCAGCGGGGAAAGTGATGGCCTCGGTTTTTTGGGGATGCTAAAGGAATCATCTTTATTGACTACCTAGAAAGAGGAAAGACCATCAATGCTGTCTATTACTGTATACTTTTGGAAAAACTGAAGAAAGAAATCGAAGAGGCCACACTTGAAGAAGAAGGTTCTGTTTCACCACGATAATGCCAGAATCACTGAACAAAAAATAAACGAACTTAGCTTCCAATTAGTTCCACATTCACCGTACTCACCTGATTTGGCCCCCAGTGACTTCCACCTTTTTCCAAATTTAAAATAATTCTTGGTTGGAAAGAGATTCCACTCAAATGACAAAGTCATCTCTGAAGTAAACGAGTATTTTGCACACCTTGACAAATCGACCTATTGTAATGGCATAAAAAAGCTAGAACATCGCTGGAATAAGTGCATTGCTAACAAAGGAGACTACATTGAAAAATAAAAAAGTTTTAACATTATTTTGTTTGTTGTTCTATTTGAGGCCGCGAACTTTCCGAACAGCCCTCGTATATATAATCTTCAATCCTAATTTACATAGATTTTTAGGAATTGTCTGAAATTAATATTTAAGTGTATTAAAAAAATTATTGATTTCATTTTGATACATGTATTACAATTGATATATAACTTATTTATGATTAGCTGTTTTCTAATATAATTTTAAGACAAAGTGTTTTGAATTCATGTATAATTTCAGAGTTATAGTTATAATTATAGAAAATTAGGATGAAAATATAAATGCAAAGGCTATTATTTCTAATTGTTTGGCAGTTTATTAAAAATACTTGACTAACTTTTCTCAGTCACTTCTAGCTTTTATATCAAATAATATGAAATAAATGAAGATTCACTATGTTTTAGTATAGTGGTCATCTATAAATTATGTAATACTATTTTTATAGTTTTCAACTACCATCCCACTTTTTGTAATGCTCTGTAATGTGCATATTATCCCAAAATTACATAATGTATATCCTCAATAAAACTCCTTAATTGTACTAAGGAATAATTTACAGTACAGAAAGTTACATTATTTTATTAGTTAGGTATAAAGCAGTCACATAAACAGTATAGTTTACTATATAATACTTCATAAACAAAAATAAAACATACTGTTATCCAAGGATAGTCTCTAGCATTACATAATGTTTGATAAACATTCCTCTACCCCTGTAACATGTCATAAGGATTACCTGCGTACTTACCACCCATATCTCTATTATGTAATTTATCAACAGCCTCATATTGATAACATTAACCATTATCAAAATTTTTATTTTTTTACATTTTCTATTTTATTATATATTGTACATTTTGTCATTATATTTAACATTCTTCCATATACAGTTGATTCTACTTAATTGGGACACATTGGGACTAATCCATTTTGGCATAATTAACCCTCCGTAAGTCGCTAGGAATGGGGCCCTTACTTGAGTCGCATGGGTCTTACAGACCCAGTGTTTTTAATATGAAATAATTCAATTTTATCTATTGCGTAAAGAAACTACAGTTTTTTAGTTGGATTCTGCGCTTTGTTTTCTATCTAGTGATATAAATTACTTGCGTATTGACAAAATGAATTTATTAATATTTATTTTTATGTAATTCGATACGAAAAACGCAAAAAAATAAACATATCAAATTTCAACTCGCTGTAATTTATCTCCTGTTTCACCGATTGCCATCGGGTTTGTTTGTAAGTGGGGAAGAAATATGACACTTTCAAGCGAAGTGAGTAGAACTTTTGCACTACTGCGAGAAAATTTGTCAACCGACCCCGCGTTACCCCCTACCGCGAAAGTCAATAAACGTTAATTGTTTTATGACTCTATTTTCAACACTTCTTTTCTGAGTTGTAAATCGACTAATTGACAAAGATTTTACTTCATTTTACTCATAAGAATGTTGTCTTTATGATTTAATAGATAGTTTCGTATGATTTTTAGACATAAATTTTATTTTTAATTTTTTATCTGATATAGTCGTGTGTTAGGCTTAACTCGATCACCTATTTTCAAAAATTGACATCGTTCAAAATATTATAGAATCCATCAAAATTATTTGCTTATAGTTTAGTTATAAATGTTTTCTGTGCATGAAAAGAAGCGATCGAAAAAATAATGGGTGGACCATCAAAAATTCGGCAATTTACGACATGCTCTCGATTCTGAAATTTGTTTTCTTCATAATATAAAATTTTTACAAAATAATACTTAAAAAATACATCCATGTCAATACCTGAATGTTATAAAAATGCAATTATCAAAAATTTTGTAATTTTCACAATTTGTATTGTCATAATTTATTTTTGTTTTTTTCTGTCGCGCGTTGCGTATTGCGCGACAACAAAGTCGTAACGCGATTAAACGCAGCGATTTCATTTATAATTACTTAAAATGTAGTTTACGTTCTTGTTTTAGTTTTGTTTTGTTGTTTAGCGATGGAAAATAAATAGATAATAATTGCAGATAACAATTTAAAGTATTTTTATCAGATTAATTTAGATTATTTGATTTTACAATAATGATAGCTATGCGATATGATTGTCGCATAGTTGTAATTTTTCACTTTATATCTAATTAGCTCTCATAATGTTTAGGGGCTAATTAGCTAACATATACTGTAGTTCTTTTATTTCGTTTGATCGAGTAAGCATCTTCTCAGAATTGTCTTGTGGGAAATTGACTGCGATAAGAATTAGCCTTTCACTTAAATCAATGTCAGAATGTAAATAAAAGTTAGTTAATCGCCATTTTCATCGTTTTCAGCTCTAATTTCGCTACTTTTCATTTTAATTGACGTTATTTAAACAAATGTTTGTTTTGTCAGGAACATTCAGGAGTAAAATTACCAGAATTACGGCTCTAAAATGAAGAAGATAGCTATTTGTAAGGTTTGCTTACATTCTGACTTTAATCACGTTGATTGGTTCTTCGCGGGAAAATCCAGACCAGATGGTTCTGAAGAAACCTCTCATTCGTTGAACTTAAATCAGTCATAATATAAATTACCAATTACAGTGTAATAGGCGTAGAAACAAAAATTTTAAAGCCAATTAACAGCAATAACATCTTCCATAGACTTACTATAGAGAGTTGGAGTTTCCCGGGAATATTTATTGCTAGACAGTTTTGAGAACATGCTTACTCGTATATACATTGTGAAACAATATTTAATTAACAATTTATAGCTCAAAACGCGAATAAAACAAGCGAATTTACAGCGATTGTTTACATTTGATTTCCAAGATCATTGCCGAAAGGGGGGAGATATTTCCCGGCAATTTATAGCTAGACTGTTTTCACAAGTTTCCCATTGGTTAGTAAATGTAAAAAAATGCCAACTTGCATCGTCTAATATACGAAGAATCATCATAAGTAATATATAAAAATTATATGATAAAAATAGAATAATAATTAAAATGATTAAAAGTTAATTAGACATTAATTTTGAAAACAATATTATAACAAAAAAAAAAAAAAAATATAAATATATAAATAAATAACGATATTATAAAGTATAATAGACACCGCGCGACAACTTCAGCGCGATAAAGTTATTGCGACACTCGCTATCGGCAACGGCGACAAATTAATTGACGTTTTTTTACCCCCTCCGTGAGTCGCATGGGTCTGTCATACCCATGCGACTCGTAAAGCATTTTTTTTCTAAAAAATGAGCGTTGCTATGCAAAAAATTTTAACAGCATGTTAATCTAATTAAAAAGTTTGAGGAATATTAATTTTTTCAAATTTTTCAAAAAATATTTAATAGTAAAAAATTTTGACTGAAAATTGCGTCGGGTCTGTCAGACCCATGCGACTAACAGAAGGTTAAGCAGCTGCCCCAATTAAACAAACTAATAATAAATTTTAAAATAAAATATGTAATATGTAGGTAAATAAATAAGTAGGTAAAAATAATAATTAAGTACCTATTTTAATGTTTTATTAAACCAAAATACAGAGAATATTTGTACTATAAATTTACCAGACTCATAATGATAAATAACTGATTTGCATCATGCTAGTGTTGCCAAATACAGTATTAGTAGTGATGTACACAAGGGTTGACTGTTTGATTCATTCCTGCTCAAATGATTTTTTCTTTCTCCCAT